TAAAGGGACACTATAGCTTAATGAAGTGGTTCTGGTGTCTATAGCTGGTCCCTGCAGGCTTTTTAATGTAAACACACACTGTGTGCAGCACTGGCGCTAGTTCATATGGCAGATCATATGGGTGGGGCATTGTGATGTGACATGTGGGGGCAGCAAATTTTTATTTTGTCTAGGGCGGCAAAAATCCTTGCACCGGCTCTGATCCTGTGCAGGTGCACCAGTCTACTTGACTGGTTTTGCCCCCCAGGCCTAAGGCTGCCAGCCCTCTGCTCCCCAGCACGCAGCTGAATGAGACCGGCGCCGGAATATGACGTTATATTCCGGCGCCAGTCTCATTCAGCAGCGCGGGAGGGCGGGAGGGCACTAACACAGGAAGCACCTCTAGTGACCGTCTGAGTGACTGTCACTAGCAGTGTCACTTTAAAGCAATGTAAACACTGCCTGAAAAGTCAGTGTTTACGTTGAAAAGCCTGTAGGGACATGCTATAGACACCAGTACCACCACATTAAGCTGTGTGTGTGTGCCTGCTAGTGAGTGAGCTTGCTTGCATGTGTGTGCCTGCTAGTGAGTGAGCTTGTGTTTTTATGTCACTGAGCTGATGTATATCAATAAGATTGTTTGTCTATGAGGCTGTGTATCAATGAGCTTGTGTGTGTCACTGAAATGTCAGTGAAATTGCCTGTGTCTGCATGTGAGTATGCTTACTGTATAATTAAACGTTTTACCCTGAAAGGACCAATATTTTATATTAGAAAAAGCAATATATATATATATATATATATATATATATCTCAATGATCTGTCCTGGCAAGACATAGCCTTACATATTACACGCGACAATATATGGCGCAGTGACTTATGGGGCTGGCACAAATTTTTTTTCCAGTGCTGCTTTGTATCCCCAGTCCGGCCCTGGGGAGGGCAGAGCACTTCTGGAACCATAACCACTACCCAAGTGCTGCTGTGATTATGGTGTGTGGAGTTTTTCCTTAATAGGCAGAGATATGTTGCAAAAAAACACTCCATTATGTACCTCCAGGAGTATGCCTAAATGATCACCCTCAACAGCTGACATCTATAGAAGGTCTCTACAGAAGGAAATATAATATAATATATACTATATAACAAAGTAATCACATTATTATTATTATCTTATTATTTATATAGCGCCATCAGATTCCTTAGCGCTGTACAATGGGTGGACTAACAGACATGTAATTATAACCAGACAACTGGACGTACAGGAACAGAGAGGTGGACATTCTTTGTTCATATAAACTGTAGGGTGAGGTAGAGAAAACAGAAGAGTTTTACAATAATCCAGTTCAACTCAGGAATGAATGGCTTATTGAACTGCAGGTTAAATATGGCCTTTATTATGCCTAACACAAATATCATATCAAATTAATTACACAAGGGTGCTGTTGAGAGCCAGACAGAGTGTATAGTATCCCAGGAAAGAAAAAAACTGTCATATTTTTCCTTCACACCACTCGCCCCCTTTTTAATATCAAAATTCTCTCTTGGTATCCTACCACTGTCCAGTTATTGTTATAAGGTACCCACCTGCTTACAGGGAAACGGGAGAAAGAACCAGGTTGTAATCCCATATCAAGACTAAACCAAGGGATCTAGAAGAATGGAGGTATGATTTGTGTGGCTCCCTTTGAATTAGTAATAGTGGGACTATACTTTACCAACTGCCATATCTTAATAATTTTTCTTATGTTTTTTTTTTGTGACAGCACAGAAGATACGATCATCAGATACAACATTAAAACAACCCGCCTAATATCATGTAGGTTTCCTCGTGCTGCAAAAACATTTCTGATGCATTGAGGTATGAACTCCACAAGACCTCTGAACATGTCCTGTGGTGGACATATGAAGGGGTGCACGTGTTCTGCAACAATCTGTAGGTAGGTTGTATGTATCAAAATAAAATCCACATGAATGGCAGGACCCAAGGTTTACCAGCAGGACATTGCCCAGAGCATAACACTGCCTCAACTGGCCTGCCTCCTTCCCATAGTGCATCCTGTGTCATCTCTTCCCTCTGAAAAAAATGCACATGCACCCAGCCTTCCATCTAAGCTAAAAGAAAATGTGATTTATCAGACCAAGCAACCATCTTAAATTGCTCCATGGTCCAGTTCTGATGCTTATGTTCCCATTGACAGGGGTCATCATGGGCACTCTGACTGGTTGGAGGCCAAGCAGTTCCAGATGCAAACTGCGATACACATGAAATTCAAGAAATGACTGTTCACTGGTTGTCTAATGTAACTCACCCCTTGACAGATGCCATTGTAACAATATAATCAATGATATTCCTTTCAACTGTCAGTGGTTTTAATCTTCACTTCATCTGCTCAGTGTATATTTTTTTCTATTCCCTTGTATTGTCTTTGCTTTGAATTTAAGGAATTTTTCATCTTGACCTAAATTGACTTTGATTTCTTACTGTAGTGAATATTCCTATATGTGTGAAGAAAAATAGAAACTGCTCATTGTAAAAAAGTGCTAATTTCAATAGAAATTGACAATTTTACAAATGAACAATGTTACACCTCCCCGTCTGTCAATAAGACAAACATTCTTCTTGGTTGTGTAGCTCAGTGGAGTTAAAGGACCACTATAGTGTCAGGAAAACAAACTCATTTTGGCGCTGAAGGGGGAGGAAGGGGCCGTCATTCAGCCAGTCTCATAGGAAAGCATTCTGAATGCTTTCCCATGGACGCTGGCATCTTCTCACTGTGAAAATCACAGTGAGAAGCGCGGAAGCGCCTCTAGCGGGTATCAATGAGACAGCCACTCAAGGCTGGATTAACCCTATTGTAAACATAGCAGTTTCTCTGAAACTGCTATGTTTACAGCAAAAAGGGTTAAACCTAGATGGACCTGGCACCCAGACCACTTCATTAAGCTGAAGTGGTCTGGGTGCCTATAGTGGTCCTTTAAACATAAGTGGCAGACAATTGTCCAAAGAACCTACCTTGCAAAGACTCCTAAACGAGCTGTAATACAGGCCATTGAGAAGTACATGATTGGACAACCACAGAAATGCTAAGGAAGAAGAGGAGGGCTTGCAATAGCTGCAGATACTTGCTCTGACATTATTGCAAGCCAAGAATTCATATACTCCAAAAAAACAACATGCAAAACAAATGACATACATGTTTCATTTGGGGGGTATATTATCTACTATTTTTTTTTTTTTAATGGAGTCTTTCCTTAGTTAGAAAGTATCTAGTTAATTGCAAGTGCTTCTGGAGATCTAAGCATTTGTTATTTTAAACCTGGCAGTTCCTTGCTGTTAAATATAAATATTTTATATTTCTCATTTTGTTCATTTTAAGTGTATATTAAGGCAGCAAAATGATATTACAATCCTCTTTTTCTGTCTCAGATAGGATGTAACGCTATATCTATGACTTGGATATAGTGTGCATAGATCCTTATCTCTCTATATTTTGCTCTCTCTTACTATTTTACAATAATATTTATAACAACGATGATTAGTTTTATAATTTTATAATTAAATGACTTGACATAGTTCTACATAAAACATGCATCATAATCATAGCAATTAGCTGTACCTCAAATATTTGGCAGTTCAAAACATTTTGATTACTGTCTAATAAAAAAATTAATAGCTCTGAATTATAATTAATGTTACTATTGTTACATTTTATTATCCTGATAGAACCTGCAGCAAAACCAGTGAATACTGGCTAGGCGAGTTCCTTGAAGGAGGGTTAGGAGTATGAGAGAACATGATCACATGGGCAGTTTGGATGCCTACGTAGAGTATTATCACATCACAGAATTATAAACTGCACTGTTAACTATCACCAAGATGTTAATGTCATATTGCACTATTAATAAAATAAAAATGTACCTACACAAATAGAATGTACATGAATGGCCTATAACGGGTCTTTGTGGGTCTACTGGACCCAGGCTGCACTTACAACGGATGGACACTATCCTAGGCACCAAGACAGGCTCAGGCACCAAGTGTAGTGGTGTTGTGGAAACATTCTCAGGCACCGTGTGTAGTGGTATTATAGAGATAGGCTTGGAGACTATGGTGAGGCCTGATAGAAAGCAGTTGTTGTTGGGGGATGCTATCATAAGAGGTGTGGAGCTGGACAATGGTGGTCTTGTGAGATGTCTTCCCTGAGCTACTGCTCACAGAGACAGGAGACGTATTTTTAATATTGTTATGCGAGCAAAGCAGGAAGGGGAATTGGATGTACTTGTCCATGTAGGGACAAATGACTTGGCTTGCAATGAGGTTTCAGAGGTAAAGGAAGTTTTTAGTGTTTTTGCCAATAATATACGGCAGGTTGCTTCCACACTGTCATTCTTTGAAATTCTGCCTGTGCATAACACTCAGAACAAGAGGCAGATGCGTTTTAGGGACTAACTTTAGGGACTAAAATTAGAATATGTGTAAAAGAGTCATTATCAGACTAGAGTAATTTAAATTGAGTCCAAGGGTATATGGGATTATTTAAAAGTTGCACTGCTGAAGGCAACAGAAAATTGCATTAGGCTTGTCAGTAAAAGCAAAAAATTAAAGAAACCACTGTGGTACTCCGCAGATGTGGCCAAAGTAGTAAAAAACAAAAGCATTTAGAATTATTAAAAAAAACAGAGCGAGGAAGACAGAATGATATATAAGATTAGACAGAAAGAGGTTAAGCAAGTAAGAAGAGCTTCCAAATCACACACAGAAGAGAAAATAGCACAGTCAGTAAAAAAAGGGGACAAAACATTTTTTAGATACATAAATGAGAAAAGGAAAGTAAAACAAGGATTAGTTAGATTAAAAACAAAAAAAGGATGGTATATAGAAGAGGATAAAGGTATAGCTGACTGCCTCAATGGATATTTTTGTTCATTACTTACAGATGAAAATGAAGGAAAGGGGCCTCAATTAGGAAAAAGAACAAATGAGTAATTTGTTACATGTGAGTTTACAAAGGAAGAGGTTCTATTTCAACTGTCAGTAAAGACAAATAAGTCAATGGGACCTGATGGAATACACCCAAAGTTATTAAAAGAGCTTAGTGGTGCACTAGCAAAACCATTAACAGATTTATTTAACTAATCATTGTTAACAGGAGTAGTCCCAAAAGATTGGAAGTTTGCAAATGTTGTGCGCATTTACAAGAAAGGTAGTAGGGAGGAGTCGGGCAACTTTGGCCAATAAGCCTTACTTCAGTAGTGGGGAAAGTAATGGAAACCATGTTAAAGGATAGGATTGTTGAACATCTAAAAACACATAGATTTCAAGATCAGAGACAACATGGGTTTACTTCAGGGAAATCATGCCATACTACTCTTATTGATTTTTTTGATTGGGTGACTAAAATAATACATCAGGGTGGTGCAGTAGATATTGCTTATCTAGATTTCAGCAAGGCATTTGACACTGTTGCACATAGAAGGCTTATTAATAAACTGCAATCTTTAAGTTTGGATTCCAGTATTGTTGAATGGGTAAGGCAGTGGCTGAGTGACAGGCAACAGAGGGTTGTAGGCAATGGAGTATATTCGAAGCATGGTCTTGTCACCAGTGGGCAGGCCCGGACTGGCCATCGGGCAAACCGGGCAAATGACTGGTGGGCCACAATGGCCACGGGCCAAGGCCGGCCGGGGAGATCAAAGATCTCCCTCACCGGCCCACATGCACTCAAACGTGGCCGCCGGCGGGGAGAGAGGGAGACAACCAGCCAGGAGAGGAACCCAGAGGAGCTCTAACTTGCAACTCCACAGGGTTTCTCTCGCGAGATCCGGACCATTGCCATGGCAACTGCACCCCTAAACACATTAAATTCCAAACACTAGATTCCTTACCCAACTCAGGATCATCTACATATATACACTCACTAGATTTCTATATACACTCTGAATCCTCTATATACACACACACACACTCACTAGATCTCCTATACACACTCTGGGTTCTTCAAATACACACTAGATCCCCTACAAACAGAAACTGCACCACCTACACACACACTACATTTCTGATATACACACTCTGGATCCCATATGCACACAATAGATTCCATGTAAGCAAACACATAGTGTCTCCATAAATAGGATACAGTGAGTATCCCAATTATGGAAACTCCTGAGACAAGTTTCAAGCAAACACAACGCAAGCATGTTATTAAATTTGCTTGCGTTGTGCAGAACAAATACAGGGCCCTTTTCTCATGCCTTGGAAAAGCATTGAACCAGCTCACTTTGAGATGGGGCATCTGAGGAAAGGGAATGAGGGGTGATTATTTTTTTGAAAATTCTTTATTTGTAAAGATTTTGTTTTTTGGGGGAAGGGGTACAGAAAAAAAAGTGGGGTTAAAGTTTATGTTACAATCTTTGTATAACAGGCATGTACTCAAAGCGACAGTCAAACAATTTGAGCAGGAGTGCAGATATTACATCTTTGGTTACAGCGTATGTTGTTTGTATACAACTAGATTCTATGGTTAGATCAACTTTTGTAATCGTTTGGTGTTGAGGATGGGGTGGGGTACAAAAAGGAAGAGGGAGGGGGATAGGGTATAATATTGCATACAGTACTCATCTTACATTTGCCAAGGAGGTGTGAGAATACAAATAGGTCTCCATGACCAGGATCAGGGAGGGGGGGTAGGCAGTGGGTCGGGGGTACAAAGTACGGAAGGTAGGATAGGGATGAGGGGTGGGCAAATGGTGGCTTGGTTATTGAGTCGCACCCTTCCTACCGTGGTCGACCTGTTGTCCGTTCACTAGTTTGAGATTCTGTATTTTACAGTTAGCACATTTCACATACAAAAGTCGTGTGTATATTTTAACAGAAAAAGGAGGTTGGTTATGTGTTTGAAGACAACATGGTATGACATTGCTTTGTTTGCTCAATAAACTGGCTCGGCAGCTTATAGGCTTGCACTGTGTCTGTCTTTGGGGGCCTTAGTAAGTGTGAGGTCGTGAATGTGACCCTACATGGCGTTTGGTAGTGGACTTATGTCGTCGGGGGGGTCGCTGTTTATCTGAGGGGATATTGGTCCGGGTTGGAAGTATGTCTACGAGGAGAGGTGATATAGTTTGTAGGTTTGCCGAGCCAGAAGGGTCGATGGTAGTTCTCTTGGTAGGGAGGGGGATCTGTTTTCTCAGGTGGTGCGGCCTTTGAGTACTCTTTGGTTGCGGCTAAGTCAGCAGACCTAGGCATAGGAGTCTGGTGCTGTAGTCAGAAGGGTTATTGGGTGGTTGGGGGGGGGGAGAAGGTATTTGAAGGGGAAGGGAAAGATCACTTAGAGGGGTTGGATGTTGCTGCCCCCTTGGGTGACCTCCCGAGTACCAGATGGGTCAGGTGGGGTTGGGGGTGGCTGCGCGGGTGACTATCGTCATTCTCGTTGTGCATTAATGGCGTTATTTGAGTGTTTTCTCAGCTCACCATGGGAGGTCACTGTGTCCTTCTATCCATGGGTCCCAAACTTTGTGGAATGATTTTGGGGTGTCGTGCAGTTGCGCTGTTAGTCTGTCCATATCTATGCTGTCAGTGATTTTCGTGTATATTTGGGTGTGAGTGGGTATACGTTGCGTAGACCAATTTTCCGCAATTGCTCTTCGTGTGGCTAAGGCCACTCGCGCTATGAGTTTGTTCTCGTTACGGGTGAGGATGTCTAAGGGTTTGGATAGTAATAGAGCCCATGGGTCCAGGGGGACCGGTTTGTCTAGTATTCTGGTTAGGAGAGTCGTGATTTTTTCCCATAGGGGGGTGAGTTTTGGGCATGTCCACCAGCAATGGAGGAACGTGCCGGTTTCGCCACACAATTTCCAACATAGGTTAGTGGGGCTTTGTTTCATAGCCTTTAAACGGCAGGGTGTGAGGTACCATCTGAAGAGCATTTTGTATGCCTGCTCTTGATGGGTGACGCAGATTGAGATAGATTTAATGGATGCCCAGATGTCAGCCCAGTCCGTGGGGTCCTCGGGGGGTCCGAGATCTTTTTCCCATGCCATAATGTAGGGGAGGGCTATCTGAGTGTGGTGTGTGGTCAGTGTTATGTAGATGGATGATATTTGGCTCTTTCTGGATGGTGAGTGGAGGGTATCTTTTTCGAACCCGGTCAGTGACGAGGTGGCTGCCATGCGGACCGTATCCGTTGCTGCGAAGCTCCGGAGTTGGAGGTAGCGGAAGTAGTCGAATGTGGTTAGGGTTTCAGGGTTGGGGATGTCGGCGTATTGCAGGAGTTCGCCATTGGGGTAGAGGTGTCCTAACCTAACTATGTCGCGATCTTCAAAGTGGGCATAGTGTTGTGGTGTGAGGCCAGGTGGGAACAGTTTGTTGCGGAGGATTGGGGAAAGGGGTGATAGGCCTGTAGGGGGTGATTATTTTTGATGACTTAAAGGTAGGCAGACAATGAAATAGAGCAGCAGGAAATCCTAGCAGAATGCTTGGTTGTATAGGGAGATGTATTAGCAGTAGAAAGAGGGACGTGCTCATGCCATTGTACAGAACACTGGTGAGAACTCACTTGGAGTATTGTTCGCAGTACTGGAGACCGTATCTCCAGAAGGATATTGATACGCTAGAGAAAAACTATCACAGCAAGAGGACATAGACTTATATTAGAGGGGCAAAGGTTTAAAAATAATATCAGGAAGTATTACTTTACTGAGAGGGTAGTGGATGCATGGAATAGCCTTCTAGCTGATGTGATAGAGATTAACACAGTAAAGGAGTTTAAGGTGGGATAGGCATAAGGCTATCTTAACTTTAAGATAAGGCCAGGGACTAATGAAAGTATTTAGAAAATTGGGCAGACTAGATGGGCCGAATGGTTCTGATCTGACATAACATTCTATGTTTCTAGGCAACTGATATATTAGCATTTTTAAAAAATAGTTTTGTTACTTTATCTGCATACCTGTTGTCAATGAGAATGGGTTCTAGCTCACTCATTTCATGGCTTTCAGCCCGGATGGTCATTTTGGTGTATAAATGTTTACACAGGATAAGTATTTAAATGGCTACCTACAACAACAAGTAATCCCAACTTTGCTAATAAAGATGCCCAGTTCATGGGCAGGTGCTATTGTGCAGGCTTCCTCATGTCTTCACTGTGGATAAAATCATTTGTAGCCTATGGAGCCACAAATGTATCCCAGATGATTGTTCCCCAAGGCCCTATTGTGCTGAAAAGCCAAAGCTATAAAAACACCAGTAATGCCCCAGTCAAAAACACATCTTTGTGGTTTCTGACACTGTTAATGCTACCAGCTCCTCAGACAGGAACATGGATTCTATAGTGTAAGTTCCCATAGAAATAGAGCCTTCTTCTCCTGCTATATTTGTTTGTCAAATTTCATATTGTCTCTTGGTTATATTGTATTGTGTCTTTTTACTTGTACCAACTGTACAATTGTGCTTGCAGATTTTATTGGAGTGGCAATAATAATGGGCTGTATAACAACATCAACTACAACAACAACAAATATAATAAAAAAAATATGCAAGTAATACATGCATGTTTCATTCATGAAAAAAACTTGGTTATTTACTCTGGAAAAGAGCAAAGAATCTGAACAAATCAAAAACTGTGCAAGGGATTCTTAACAAGAAGAGCAGTGAGGTTTCTGGATTGCACTACTAGGTAACGTGATCATTTTAATTGATGGTTGAATATGTTTTTGACACTAATACAAATAACAGTTCATCCAATTATTATGGGTACTTTTCAACAAGTGGAGCACTGTTCTTATACAATATATACAAATGCATAGTTAAATTAGGTGAAGCTTGCTATCTTTAGTAAAAATGAAGCGTAGTCGGAATTCAAGCCGAGATCTGGGTAACAGAGAGACAGCGAAAATGAGAAGTAGCTAGAGTTGGGTACACTGTACTAAACAGATGGGCAAACAAGACAAGCAAGGGTTAAAGAGAAACTCAGAGTCAGGAAACAAAGCTCAGGTCAATATCAGAAAACAAAACAATAATACTGTCTGGGAAGCAGTGGCATTCGCACAAAGTTCTGTCTCCTGTGTTGCCAGGTTCGTGAAACGATTGCGTTCGCATGAATGCGAGCGTTGGCGTGGGTGATCGGGCTGGCCACGCTGTCTGAAGAGTCAGGCTCCGACATGGCATCCCTGTGGAGAGAGAGGTAGGTGAGTGGAGGAGTGGGGACCTGATAACCATAGAGATATGGAGGATTACATAACAGAAAATACACACACTCACAAAAGAGATAAAAGTTATTTATCCCACACATGGAGTTTGGCATACAAGAAATAGCCCTAATAAACATATATAAGGTAAACAGAAAATTTTATCAAAGAGAGACACAAGTTGAGAGATATAAACAAACATCGAATCAAACTCTACACACACTAGTCCAAGAACACATAATATGAATGAAATCCACACCACACGTAGTGACATAGGATTTATATATGAGAAATGACACACCAAGAAACATGATGCATGAAAAAATTTCAGTAAGCAGAATAGACCGCTGAAGTGAAATGAATATGAAGGATATGTACACCCACCATAGAATTACAAAGGGGACAACAATAGGACAAAAATATCTGAGTCCCTCCTAACATTCACAAGGGACTTAAAGGGTAAATCTTAAAGAAGATGAAATATTGAAAGAAAACACACAACTGAAGAAAAAGTCATCAAATATAAATTCTACTGAAACATTTTACTCTCAGCCATGAGGCCCGGAGAATTAAACATTTTCAGTTGTTACAGAAATAATTGCTCCCCTTAAAGGTTTTAATAGATCTGACGTCTTAATAAGTGTCAGTAAATGCAAACAGAAATAATGACTAAAACACTGTCAGAAACATGCTATAGCTGCAAATACAACTACATATAATCACAGTTACATGGGAAATATCCCTTCCTTCTACAAAATATACAGCCTAATTTCATGGAACCTTTTTGGGCAGGAGCCTTGTGTGCGGTCGGTGTAAACTGTACTCCAATGGCCTTTTGGCTGTGTTTGTGGGATCTGAGCGCTTTTTGGCTACATTGGTCGCTCAGACCAAAGCTATCCGGGGATATAAGACTTGAGGGGATACCTTGTAGGGAAATGAATCTTTTGGGGTGATAAATCTTGTAAAAGTCCTGGACCTGAGAGTTAATGTAAGTATACTGTGTCATGTGTATTTGAAAACCCCTTGCAGGGGGTGCTCATAAAAGGCTGTGTGTGGCTCCATTAAAATCAGTTATACCCCCAGAGCTGAGTGTCATCCAGTTGCTGGGGAGGTGATGGGGGATTCTTGGATTACTTTGCTGTATTTGGCTGTTCCCTTGGAGTATTCTATTTGTTCCTGAGCACATCTTGGAGTAACCAGTGGAGGAGAGTCCCTGCTAGGACTAGCACTCCGCTACAAAAAGTATATATTTTTTTTATCAGGTTTGGAGTAACTCTTTGAGGATATTCTCAATGCCTGCCACGGAAAAGGTTGATTAATTGACAAGAAAATATATATATTCAGTTATAAGAAATTTTAGTTTTCTTTTTTTTTTGTCTGAAAACACCTTAATCACAACTGGGTAATCCCTAAATCCTGGACTGTTAGTGTGCTTGAGGACTAGTTTGGGAACCACCGATTTAACAGATTTCAGATTTTCATTCAGGATTAGTAATTTTTATGGAACAATGCTATCTTTGTTGTTGTAGTGCTAGAGAAACTTATTATTGTTCTACACACAGATCTATTAAAAATCTAAAGAGCAATTTTGTAAGAGGAGGAACATGTCTGGCTGGAATCTCTATTTTAACATGAAACATGTCCAGCCAAAGCTGTCCCCCCATCATGCTTAACATGCTTTATATGTTTTATTGAAAACAAGATTAAACAGTGTAATTAAAAAGGAGGATGCAGATCCTGTATCTCTAAACATCATACCAAGGTGTTCTGGAGATATTGTTCTCATTGAGGTGAGCCTGTACAAGTAAGTTTCACTTTAGGAACCAACCATGGTTCATCATGAAGTAATGAAGAATACTGCTACAAATACAAGTTACATACTTTTACTTGATAGCATTTATTTAGATTGTTTGAAATATGTATGTATGTATGTATTACACTTGGTGATCTATTACATCTTGTATTGTTAAAAGCTAGAACTCGTGTTTCTGATTGCTGAGGGATGTTCAGTCATCTTGAATCAACTGCCCTCCTACATAATAAGAAGCTTGATGATCAACTGGCTTTCTACCCTGGTTAAGAGATCATACCTGATTAAGAGATCTTACCTAAAACTATAGTTACCTTTATAGAGTCAACATTGATGTGGGATGTAGCTCCCAAAAAAACATTCTTGACATTACTGTATTGGATTATTTTGCACCAATAACTGGGCCAAATGCAGCAGGTCTACCATACAAGGGATATTCCATAGAAAAAACAAAAATAGATGCTCATTACAGTGGAAAAGGTTCTTTGAAATATAACTATGCCATAATATATATGTATTAGCCACTATATCAAACATCAACTTCATTCAGCACACTTACTCTGAACAACTGGTTACAACTACATGTCTGTTCGTCCACCCATTGTAAAGCGCTGCGGAATTTGACGGCGCTCTATAAATATCATAATAATAATAATAATAATAATAATAATAACAATAATACAGCATGAAAATAATGTAAAAGCAAGTGGATGTGCTATACATTTTATTTACCACATTTGGCTTTGTGTTCTTTTTGGAGTCACAAACGTAACTATAGTTGTCCATTTTATATAGCTGATGGACCACAATCCACTGATATAGTTCATCAGCTGTTTGTCTGATTAATAATTTCTCGATAAAGGCAAATAATAGTATCACTTCTCTCTGCAGAGGAGAAAAACCTGCTCAAACATGTTTACCATCTATACTTATACAGCAATCTCAATTACAATAAAAAAACTCAGAAGCGAAAGACTTGACCTGAATGTGAGCAATTATTTTTTTATAGGCTTAAGAGAGCTTATATTAGCTGAAAGCAGTGAGGAGCTAAATATTTACTGTATTTCAGCAACAAGGTTATCACCTAAAACAAACCAACTAACGAAATGATGTGGGCTCAGTCGTGGACACTGATAACTGTATTTCTTATCCATGGTGTTTCCACTCAACTTGTAGTACGTAAGTCTGGAATATTTTTCATTATATTTTCAATAGTTAATACTAGTATATGACTTCTATATTGATTGGGCAATTTTGTGAGAACTGTGTAATTTCAGAGGCAGTAAAAGTGCAAACAAATGATCAAATATAGGCCTTTAATATTTTTGGGTAAGCTTTTACAATGTTTTAATAATTTGGGATAAACTTTGAAAAATATTTTAATATTTTGAAAGATATTTTCATATTTTAATATATTGATATTATTTTATATATGCTGCTTTTTAAGTTATATATTTTTGATATATTAATAATTTGAAAAAAGCATCATAAAAGTTTATTCGAACATATTAAATCATATGAAAACGCTAACCAAAAATAGTAAATCAAGGCCAGAATTCTTTAAAAAAACTAATTTGGAATTAATAGAAGTTCATTACACATTTTCAAATCAAAGTTGCTCCTTTATAAATAAATGAGCACCTTTGATTTGAAGGTTTGTGCATGACTTAATTATTTTTATTATTTATACTGGTTTTTGGGTGTAAATGTACCAGTATGCATTTATTTGACTGGGTGTTATTTTCTTTGTAATACATTTAATAAACTATAGCAACTAACATGTATTTGTGAGTACAAGATACACAAGAAGATTTAATCTTAACATGTTGATTATTCAGCAATAATATGAATAATATGACAACACTGTTATTAAATGCATGAACACATTAACTATGAGATCTCTGTTAAAAAAGTTTGGCAAGCAATTTAATTACTATATATATAAGTAATTCAATTGCTTTAAAATGTTTGAAATACTATATGTATAAGTAATATATTTAATATATATATATACTTTTGAGGATTTGATAAATTGACAGATTTTTACATTTTTATTCCCTTTTACGTGTTATGCTACAGTACTCAGTATTAAATAGAAAAGTTGAAAGTGTAAACACTATAATTCATTCAGTGTCATATTTTCATTTGTAATGTACTTAATATTTTTTAAAGGAACACTCAAGGCACTTCATGATTTAAGTTGTTATGGTGTCAGGAGGTCCTCGGTGCCAGCTTACTTTTAGGTGTAAAACCACTCACAAGGTCCCAAAGTCTTGAACCCAGCACCATTTAGCTCTGACTCTGTCTTTCTGCTTCTCTTTGTTTCTTGAAGCAGGAATCCTTGGACAGGGTAGCCGCTGATTGGTTAAGAGCGTCAGCTGATGCTCTTAGCAAACCAGGAGCTACCCATTCGCAAAATGTCTTGAGAAACATATTTCTCTCAATTCATTTTTTTATGAATGGGAAGCTATTGATTGATTTAGAGTGTCAGCTCATGCTCTCAGCCAATCAGAAGCTCTCTGAACCGAGAATTCCTGCTTCAGGAATCAGAGAGAAGTGGAAGGATAGGGCAGAGCTAAACAATGTTGGATTCAAGACTGTGGCGTTCTCCGGATTGCAAACACTTTAACACCTAAAGGTAAGTTGGTTCCAATAAAGTTATTATAGTACCTGGAGTGTTTCTTTAAAAAAAAAAAAAAAAAAAAGGAAGCATAATTAAGACCGTTCTACATATAAGATAATATGTAATAAGATAATAAAGAGAAGTAGAAAACTAGAAGTAGAAAAATAATTTTTTCTTAGTCATAAAAAGGCGTAGGATTGGATTTTACATTGGTTTATAAAAAAAAGCAAAAAATACCTATGCTACCTACCGGAATATTGGAAATAAAATCTGTCTCAGACATATAGCATTGTATGTGCTCAACTCCTCTCTTGCACTAGATTGTATCTGATCAGCTATGTTAATATTAAAATGATGGCGAGTGTATCAATACAGTACAGCTGGAGTGTTTGTTCACCTATAATCACACATATGATCATTTTATGATAGTTTATGTGGTAACTGGGCCATCACCTCCATAATTGCTCACATAACCAAAGAACACATATTATATGCGATTGTGACATGCAAGGTGTGAATTATTTTCATATATAAAGTTAGCATTGTAAATAATAAAAACTGTAAAATGGGTCACTTACTCAAACCGATTCAGCAAAAATATTGCTGCCATATGCCTTCTAATTAGGCTCTTGCGCATATTTTGTATTTTTGGATCTGCTCTTAACATGGCACTAACATTGAGCGACCTTTAGAAGCAGATAACAAATTTTCTATCTCACACTTGATACCAGACTTTTAGTGATTGGGCATTTGTATGTTGGTTAGATAGTTCTACAATAATATTTAGCTTCATATTGGCACCACTGGGAACATTTTCAGTTATTCTATAGTAGTAAGGCAAAAAAATAGTGCAGTACTAAACATATACATGGTTATTCACCAACGTGAAAATTCAAAGTGAATTTAAAATTTAAGGCTACGCTAACTAAATTGAAAACATTGCTAACTTAGATCATTTTTTAGATCTTTTATTAGATCTATGGTTGAGGCAATCCTGCTCTAATCAAGTTTTACAAAAACATAAGAAGAAAAAAAGCTTATGAGTCATTTAAAAGCGTGCCTAAAACTAAGTAGCACATTTTGTTATTGATCCAGCATTATCATTTTGGCTTAAAGATAACATTAACAGGCAAGTAAGCACGTTGTGAAAAGTCAGTATTTTTATTTTTGCTTTGATTTTCTAATTATTAGGAAAACAAATCTATCTTTAGGTTCTGGTAAAGTGCATATATGGGGTCGATAAAGAAGAGGAATCAACTTTTTTTCCTGTCTCTAAAATTTGTGTATACATAATTAGCTTTTTTGACAGATCCAAGCACAAATTCATTCAAGCCGATATGAATATATGAAATGAATGGATAATAATTACCATTTATTAATTATTGTTATTTACCTGTTTGTTCTCTGCTTAACAGCCAATTGCTTACCTACAATAGTTGGAGGTAATTTTGTGGGACGAATCACAACCACCACCGTTTCACTGTTATCCCCCTGCTGCTTACTTCAAAATAGTCTTGCTCCATCTTCTGGAAGGTTGTTGACTATTGTGGCAGCTAGCAATGGTATGTATCACCAACATATGAACAACTGTACACATATATATATCAAAACATTTCCAACTTGGTTAATTTAGCGTATACCCAACATCAGTTCTAAGAGTGGTTAGAACTCCAGCAATTTTTAAAAGTTGTCACAGTTCATAGTTGTCACAAAGCCGGAAAGCTGAGTTCTGGCTACTGATATCCTTTATTCCACACATGCAACTTGAGCTCTTCCTTTTTCAAATCAAAGTTTTTATTTATCATGGGATATAATAATTGTTAGAGATCCATGTATAATGGTATGTGGGTATATTGTATTTACTCTCCTACGTATCACATTTCATCTTTGGCTTAGTTATTGATCATAACTAATTTTACTTAGTTATATACACGTTGTGTGTAGTGTCCATGTGGTTACTTTAATCCTCTCCATGTGGCTAAGATTTAGTAGGACTTGTTGAAGTAATTAAATTATACGTTTCTCTGCCTGATAAAGACCCTGAGGGTATATTAAATAGCTTAGATGCTGTGAATTGACCTATTTGCCACCTACAAGAAGCTGTGGTATAGGTGATGTGTGGAAACGCTCCTGTGGGATTAACTAATTAATTTGTAAACTCTTGCTGGGCAGAGGATTATGGTATAAGACTGAACCCCATAGACCAAAATGAAATGATTATTCTCTTCCTGTATAAGGTCTTCCTGTAACTGCACACAGATCCATTAAATATTGCATCTGTTGGGATCTTTAAAGGTAATTAAAAAAATTTTAAATTACATTTTCCATCTTCTTTAAAATTGTCTCTGTCTCCCACCCACACCTCCAAAATGAGTATTTCATAAAGATAACATTTTTATGAAGTGCTCACATTGACTATGTTGGAATTTCACTGAAATTCCAACCCAGTCAAAAGATATGCTGAGACAAAGGACTACATTGCATACTCATATCCCCTACGCCTGACAAAACTTGACAAAAAGCAGAGATTGCCCCATCAAGTTTTTGTCATTTCCCCTACTAGTGACGGTGGTAGGGAAAAAGTTGTCTATGGAAGCTCCAATTAGCGGTCTCTGAGGATTTTCCATGGACCTCAGTGATTTACTCTAGCGCATGCATGTGCGCCAATGAAGGACCAGGAGTTAAAGAGGACAAACCGGATGAAGATGGCAGCAGCCACAAGGTATTGCTTCAGGTAAGTAATACTCACCTTTACCTGCAACCTGTAGCCACTGCACTGCAAGTAGAGCAGTCACGATTCAGACCATTAAACCGATTTAATGTGTTATCTCTACAATGCACTAAAATTGTTCGTGTGGGGGCTTCCCTGTATAGTTTCTCTGTAATATAGTAAGTCCTAACGCTTGATAACAGCGGCTTTGCATGGCTTTAGGCGAGACTCAAACTTGAGGCCCCCACTAACACCATTCGTACAAAAAGAAAATAGGGGTTGGTTTGTGTGTGTATAAAGAGCTGTAGTTATACTGAAGGGTGTTCTAGCAGCGCTGGATACAGAGAGCTAGTCTCTGTATTCATTGTTCAGAGGCTTGCATCGTCACGGACCCCTGTGCCGCTGTATTGCAAGCTTTCTGACTTTAATTATGACATAATTTGAAGCGAACAAATGTAACTTGCAATGGTGATAATCGTTTATACGCGATTGTCGGGTATGGTTGCACAACCTGCCAGTCGTGTATACATAAGTGCCGGTGCAAAGGTGTTATATGAAGCAAAAATTTAAATTTTGGTTGGGCAAAAAAGCTTTAAAAAAACATTTGCCAAATAATAAAATACAGATAAGAAAACAGTGTCATAGACAGTCCCATATATTCTATAATCCTTTATACCAGCAGGTCCCAAACTGTGTGCCAGGCCCATACACACACTACCCCCCATACACACACACTACCTCCCATACACACACATTACCCCATCCACAAACACTGTACCCCTCACACACACTGCACCCCCACACACACATTGCATTCCCCACACACACACACTGTACCCTTCACACAACCTGCCCACCCCACACACATATGTATGTATATTATATATGTTGCTTGCACTTTACCTTTGCATTGCCCATATCATACCATCCTCACATTTCAGACAAACACATATACACACTAATGCACAAACACGTATACACACTCTGATACATACACATGCATACACGCACAAACACACTGAAGCACTGAGACACAAACATTGACATACAGACATACAGTCATAATGTATATCTATCTGCCTGTGTGCATTTCTGAGTGTGTCTGGCATTGTATACCAGTGTATGTGCCTAAAGGTGTGTCTGACAGTGTGTATTCTTGTATGTCCATGTTTGTTTCTGTGAGCATGCATATGTTTGTGTCTGGGATCTTATGTGTGTGGGGTAGCTGCTTGCGGTGATTTATGGCAAAGCTATGTTTAATGACTGTGTGTATGTATGATAGATGTCTTCAGAGGGTGACTGTGACAGGGTGAGTAAAGGGGTAACGGTGACAGTGTGAGTTTGACAGGATGAAGGGGTGAATGAGACATGGTTGGGGGGGTGAGTGTGGCAGAATGAGGGTGAGTGTGACATAGTTGGAGGAAGTAGTGTTACAGACTGAGGGGAGGTAAATGTGACATGATTAATGGGGGATAATTGACAGGGTGAGTGTGGCAGAGTGAGGGGAGTGAGTGTGACAGAATTAGGGTGTTAATGTGACATGGTGAATGTGGCATTGTTGGTGGGGTGAGTATCAAAGGGTTGGAGTGAATGTGGCATGGTTGGAGTAATGAATGTGACAGGGTAAGGGGAGTGGAGTTTGGCAGGATTAAGGGGATTTTATGTGATGATTGAGTGTGGCAGAGTGTGACAGGATTATAGATGTAAATATGAGTGTGGCAGGTTTGGAGAGGAGTGTGGCACGGCTGGAGGAGTGAGTGTGAATGGACAAGGTGATTCAGCATGACAGAATTAGGGTGGTTTATTTGAGAGAGTGAGTGTGGCATGACTGGGGGGATAAGTGTGACAAGATTGGTGTGCTTAATGTGATAGGATGAGTGTGACAGGGCTGGGAGCTGAATGTGACTGTGAGAGAAAGTGAGTGTAACAGGATTAGGTGGGTTAATGTGATAGTGTGAGTGTGGACAGCGAGGGCTGGTAAATGTAGCAAGGTGAAGGGCGTGACAGTGTATGCGTAGGGTGACAGAGTGCGTGGAGGGGGTGACTATGTGGGTGGAGGGTGACAGTGTGTGTGGAGGGGGTGACAGTGTGTGTGGAGGGGCTAACAGTGTGTGTGGAGGGGGTTACAGAGTGTGTGTGGGCGGTGATAGTGTGTGTGGGCGGTGACAGTGTGTGTGTTTGGGGGGGTCACAATGTGTGTGGAGGGTGACAGTGTGTGTGGAGTGGGGTGAGAGTGTCTGTGGGGTGACAGTGTCTTTAGAGGAGGGTGAAAGTGTGTGTGTAGGGGGGTGACAGTATGTTTAGAGGGAGGTGACAGTGTGCGTTGGGGGTGTACTGTAAGTGTGGGGAGGCTGTGCTATAGTTACCACTCCCACCCCCCTCAGCACCCCTGAAATATATTTATTTTCATAATCAATTCCCTGGTGGTCTGGTGGAATTTTTCCCTGGTGGTCCAGTGGGCAAGCTCTTTGGTCTGCAGCTCAGTCTGGTGCAGAGCTGCAGACCACGTGATAAGATGCTCGCGAGCGTGAGGTGTCACAGCATTGCTGTGGTAATAGTAACCCATGGCAATGCTCTGATTGGTCAGAGATCGCAAGACACTTCAGTCTGCAGCTCTGCACCTGGCTATGCTGCACACTGGAGGCGATGACTCTCTCCTCCCAGGGCCAAACTGAGCGGAGGGGCCTCACACACGGTTGCCCCCCCTGGTGTCGGACCCTCGGTCATAGACTGAGAATCCGACAGATCACTGCGTCCTTAGGTGATTTAGGCGGCCGTGAGGCTTTAATTAGCGCGTGGTCTTAGGCAGCCGTCTAAATCACCTAATTAGTGAGCCACCTCTGCTTGACAATTTATATAAAAGGCAGATCATGTCATGAGTAGGAGGGAAGGTGTCAGAATTGAGAGGAGACAATAACTAGCTGGAAAATGAAAAAATACACCATTGTGACTTTTTGCAAAATATGGGAAGAAGGGATACATATATATAAAACAATGGATATTTTCCTTTTTTTTTTTGTGCTAATGAAGCTATATTAAATTAGTAGAAAGTGACATTTATTTGCTTACGTGCCTAAAATTGTTGAGCTAGACACTAAAATAAAAGCATTACTGGTTGTATTTCAATATACAAGTGTGCCAACACACTTTTATACCTGTATTCCTAATGCCATAGGGTCCCTGTCCCTAGTAATACGATCCTCCCCTTCATGTGTGCTTTGGCACTGCTTAACTCTTCTCCTCACATAACATGATGGAAGAGACATGGTCTCCTCTGGCGACAGTCAAATGAAATGCAAGAGAAGCATTGGGGAACTGATGCATCTGTGCATCCGCTCTGAAAAACAGCAATGTTTTGTGCTAAAATGTTGAACTGACAGGATGACTCCTTAACCAGGCCACTTCATTGAGATAAATGGCGTGGGTGACTTTAATGGTCCTTTACATTTGTGGAGCAAAAGTAGAATTTTAGAAACACATTTATTAACAAAAATGTATTTCCATTTATTTTATACGTTATTTCTTTATCTGAATTTGTATCTTTTTTTTTAGAAGTCAACAATATTGATTTCACTGCTATCACAGAAGCAAATCTGCCATCATTTTTCAACTTCAGCAGTAGTCGCTTTTACCTGGCTATTTCAACGCCTGTTAATGGGTTAACAACCTTGGTGTGTTTAACCCCAAATAATCAACTAACGTTCCAGCGTCTGGGAAATGACTTTCAGTGCATTATAAATCCTACCTCAGCATTTTGCAATGGTCCACTGGATCCCAGTGTGGAATACAGGTAGCTATGATTAACTGAAAATGTTCTAATTACATTTCTGCCACAGTGTAGTACCCACACAAGCTTAATATGTTAGTTGGTTATATAAGCACGACCAATCACTCTCTCATACTCATCTAAACATACAAAGGAAATATAAAAGGGTGCTATGCATATAAATAAATCAATAATTTGATACAGGGTTCCTCATTAGATGCTTGAGAAATATACAGAAAATAACTCCTTAAATATAAGTAAATACATAAATAGTTCCATTAATTTATATAATTACAGAGCAATTACACACGCTCCTCTAAAAGATATACTTTCAATAATGGGTATGTTCAGAATTGTAACAAACTGTAAAGTTTAGGCTATCATATCTAAACTGTGATTATTGCCAAGTTGAAATATTTTTCAAATCATCTATCATCTAAATTGTGAATGCAGTTTTTAGCTTGCCACAATTTGGTGTTTAGTGAATAAACCCAATTTGTTTTATAGTCTGCCTATTCTGCTATGAATTAATAATTATAGAAGTCTGACGGAATGAAATAATAATTAGTCATTCCTTTGGAAGAGGGTCAGGAAATAAATGTACATTTTGTCTATATATATTATGCCTGTCAGTGCCCATGTCGAGTTTTTGTGCCTACGAAGGACTTCTCAAAGTCCAACTCGAGACATGCAGGTGATGCATACCAATATGGAAGCCCAAAAAGGCCATGTATTTTTTTTTAATAATTCTTTGTTTTTGGAGTGCAGATAAATAATAAATATAGCACAGTAGCAAGAATGTCAACATTAAAGATTGATATACAGCAATTAACAGAAGTATTATATATATGCACTTTTCTTTTTTAGCATAAAACTTAAAGACATCTCGAAAAAAAAAGCCATATGCAAATAGAAAATTAAACTGTGACTGCTAAACCAAACTTGCCTCATGCAAGAGTTGAAAGAAGAGTGGCAATATATCAGACATTTAGTGGCACCAGCACAGCTAGCCAGAAGCTCAAGACAATTAATTAGTGAGAACTGGTTTGCCAGACTAGATGAGAGTTGCCACTGGGTAGCAAAACACACAACAATAGGCAGCCTATATATGCCGAGCAATGAAATAAGAATGCACAAGAAGATAATTCAAACTAAAGTAAAGAAAACTATTACAGTATTGCAGTGCAATGGGCCCATAGCCCATTTAGCCAATGCCTGCGTCAGGGGAGCCCTCCGATAATTTGAGCTGTATGTGGGAATCTGGTCTTACTTGGCTTGCAGCCATGGTGAGCGTAGGCAATGTTGGTATCTGGGACGTATACGGAGACATGCAGGCTGCGACATTCGCTTTTCCAGCTGTGTGGCTGAAGACACTATTAGGGAGGCCTTGACTTGGCACATAGATGAGGTATTGATGCCTCAATTATTAGGATAGCCCAGAACTGTTCCCACACACGATCAAAGGCTTGTAGAAGGGCAGTTTTGTGTATGCAGGTGTGGCAGTAGGCCCCAATGAGACCACCATTTTGAGACGCTGACCATGGCTATTTGATCTGCCAAGGATTGACAAGGTTTCATAGAGTAGGCCAAGAGAGTGTACCAGTGGGGAACAGGATATCCCCCACTGGTCCAAAGATATCCTAGAATTTAGTATGTCCACAGGCCACAGAGAAGACTTGGCCCAGGTTGTTCCCGTCTGATCCAAGCAAATGCTGGCTTATCACTATAAAAGGTGATTCTGGAAGCACAGGTTTAGATTTTTGCCCAAAATATGATGTATTGATTAGTTAAAATGCTTAATTGGATTCTTCCCTGGAGGAGCTCCAGCCATGTGCGACTGTCTAGTCAGCTGTCAGGCCCCACTCCCAGGTCATGTATTTTTAATATTTTTCGAACTTGTTATCTAAAGATAACAGGTTGTTTTTGTGAGATAACACGTCATAAAAAGATTTAAAATGCAGTAATAATTTAAATGCTGGGTGCACTCGCAGGACTTATAAATGATTTAGTGGTTCAATATAGCGAAACAAGAAAAAATTACACCTGTATCATGTTAACGTTTCAACCTTCTCTTAAGTGTAATAATATTAATAATATACAATATAACCCAAACACTTACATATTTTTTATTTCATTGTTACACTTTTTTGTAATTTTGAAAGGGTGGCATTTTTACTGACTAATGAAAATGGAACCTTTGTTCTTGCAACTGGATGGTCCGATGTAATTCACCTTAATCGAGGTGAGTTGTTTACAAGAAATATATTGTCTCTAGATGAATGGTACCTTATGTTACAGACAATGACCCAGAAAGCAGCATTGATAATGGCTATTCATTTTTACTCAACAAAATATATCAGATTGTAGGTACCTGCCATCCATAAAATAAAGACATATATATATATTATTCAGAGTCTAATGTGTACACAAAGAGTTAGTTTACTAAACAGAGAATACAGAAAAATTAGCAAGATAAATGCAAATTTTAGGCCAAAATATCTGAATTGAAAATATTCTCTAACTGAACCAATTGTGTTAATTCTCCACATTTTCCAGTTTAGTTAATATGCAAGAAGAGATATTTTTCTTTAGAGATGTTAGTTTATACTTCCAAGACATTACCAGAGGAGTGTAAATAGCTACTGCTTACATTGTATTGAATTTTGAGACTACAAAAGTTTTATTGAGAGTTTGAGCGCAGGGTAAAAACCCAAGGGCAGAGTACAGAATATTTGATAGAGTCCTAACCTCAACATATGAGGAAAGGGACTTAGGGGTGATTATTATCAGATGACTTAAAGGTAGGCAGACAATGTAATAGAGCAGCAGGAAATGCTAGCAGAATGCTTGGTTTCATAGGGATAGGTTTAAGCAGTAGAAAGAGGGAAGTGCTCATGCCATTGTACAGAACACTGGTGAGATCTCACTTGGAGTATTGTACGCAGTACTGGAAACCGTATCTTCAGAAGGATATTGATACTTTAGAGAGAGTTCAGAGAAGGGCTACTAAACTAGTTCATGGATTGCAGGATAAAACTTACAAGGAATGGTTAAAGGATCTTAACATGTATAGCTTGGAGGAAAGACGAGTCAGGGGGGCAGACTAGATGGGCCGAATGGTTCTTATCTGCCGTCACATTCTATGTTTCTATGTATTTGTATTTACTTTAGAGAATAACCCAGCTAATATTCCTTGTTGTAGATGGTTTTTTTTAATTATTATGAAGTAGTACATGAAAATATATTTTGAAGGATGAGGCCCAAATGACACATGTTGTTTTATGCAGCAAATAATTTTTCTACCATTAATACGAACATTAAAAAACACAGCCCTACGATGATAATTATCACCACCATCCTACCGGTTTTGCTTGCCATACTACTGATCACTTTTACTGCTTTGATGTTCAAGAGCTGGTAAGTTGGAACTAATTGAAATACGTTTTTATTGCTTTACTATGTACCGTTAAAGTTACTGCAGACAACTGTTAAAGTGCAACTGTCATAAAATAAAAATCACATGCTAGCATTGTATAGTAGATATAATTCTATGTATGCATTGCGCAAGCCATATTGCTAGGAATCAGTGGCGGAACTACCGTGGTCGCAACTGCGACCGGGGCTGACACTCCAGGGGGCCCGGCCATCCTGTAGACCCCTGCGACCGTGGTGCCCGCCGCCATGTGCGGCTGCACGTTAAGGGACTCATCAGGTGGCCCATGGTGTTAGGGCCACCCGATGGAAATTTATGTGATGATGTCAAAAGCTGGAAAGAAGTGACTGGCCTGGTCACTCCACCCAGCTTACACCTAGAGCCGCGCAGGAGGAAGGAGGAGGGAGTCAGACTGGGAACTCTCACTCAGATCAGGGTGAACCACCACTAGACCCCAGGGAAGTCACCCGTTTGCATCTAAAAGGTAGGAAACAGGAGGATAACTAAAATATTTTGTATGTATGTGTGTGTTTGTGTGTCTGCATGTGTCTGTATGAATGTTTCTCTGTATGTCTGTATGTGTGTGTGTCTGTATGTCTGTGTGTGTATGCATGTGTGTTTGTATGTGTATGTGTTTCTGTGTGTTTGTGTGTGTGTTTCTGTGTGTGTGTTTGTATCTATGTGTCTGTATGTCTGTGTGTGTGTGTGTATGTCTGTCTGTCTGTATGTATGTATGTGTGTGTGTATGTCTGTGTGTTTGTATATGTGTGTCTATGTGTGTGTTTGTATGTGTCTGTATGTATGTGTGTTTGTATGTGTGTGTTTGTATGTATGTATGTGTGTGTCTGTGTGTATGTTTGTGTCTCTGTATATGTGTGTGTGTGTTGACATGTGTGGGGGGCAACGTATGGGGGAAGGGTAGACATATTTATGGGGAGTAACAGGGGGTAGATATAATGGGGGGGGGCATGGCAATTTTTGCACCAGGGCCCCGTTACGCCTCTGCTAGGAATTGTTACTTTTTTTTTTTTAGTTTTCATTCCACTGGGTGAAAAAATAGCAATCAATCCACCAAATACAGCTATATGCTTCATGTTTATGCATTTAACGAGGATATTAAACTAGCATTAAGCAATTTACATGTATCACAGTGGGTCCTGACTCTTGATTAACCCTAACAGTGTAATTTGCTAAAGTGAGAATTTATGGTGAATTTCAAATTTAAGGCCAGAGTTGCGAAAATGAATGCATTGCTGACTTAGAAAATTTTTCCAGTTCTGCTACTTTTACCTTGAATTGTAAATTCATTTGATCTCACTTCAATTTCTCGCTTAAGTGAATAAAACTGTAAGTAATTCCTCCACCATTTCAATTACTTCCACACTGCCCATCCAGAAAGACAGTCATGCTAATTTACTGGAGCCACCATTTTTCATTTGTTATGTGGGCAGTCACAGAAAGTTATACCAAATTTGCTATTTACTCACTGATGTAACTTTGCTGTGACGTCAATAAGAAATTGATTCTGGGCAGAGTGCTAGTGATCCATAGGAAACCATAGAAATGTGCTTATTATTATTATTATTAACATTATTACTGGCATTATTAAAATGCCAACATTTTTGGCAGAACTGTTTAATTGGGGAAAAGGATAATACAGTGAGTAAAACATGCTATATATGCCAATCATGTAATTACATGTTCAGCAGGCAATATTTAGAGCCACAAAAATGGGGGTCCTCCTGGAACCCCCCAAAAAACAAGAGAGGCCTAACAAGTGATGGAACTATTAATGTGCTCTGTAGAGAAGCAGTATGATTGTCCTCTTACTTGTCCTTCACTTAAACTGTGATAAAAGTACCCTTTAGTATTATTCTTACTCTAACACATCACTAAGCGGTTAGATACCGAAGAAGGCCATTGAAATCCAGTTACCTTAAGTAGTAAATTTTGAGGGGTGATTGCATTATGATTGTTATTAATTCATTTATAAGAAGGATGGTCCAGTAATAGTTATTTAATCAAGCCTACTAACAAATTCTCTTTTTCCTTTTGCAGCATGTGTAAGCAACAGCAGCAAACTAGGTCTTGTTAAAGTGTTCAGAAGAGGCATTCCTGAACGGCCAAATGGAATTCTCAACATTCGGTGCACAATATCTACCACTTGGGATTTGTTCTATTTTCTATTTTCTGTATAACTAACAAATGTAGTCTTCCAGCTGTTGTGGAACAGAGTCTCCCATTATGCATGATACTATAATGCTTTACCATCTTTAAAGAAACACACCAAGCGGGCTGTAGTACTTATGGTCATTGGCGTGTTACATTCGGCCTCGCAGTTCATCACATGATTGCATGGAGTTGTAACTGTACACAACAATTGAATGGCTACCTGCATACTACTAATGTTCTACTAAACCTGGTTTTATGACACTACAACTAGAATTATATTCTATAATTTACTCCACAGATAATGTTTAATAATAAATATATTAGTAGTTAACGCTTTCTTTCCAATCTAATGTATACACACAAAACCAAACTCTGCTGTTCCACAATAAACAATGTGTATGGATGAGGTTGGTTTAGTCTTAATATTAAATAGATTATTTTAAACATTTGAAAATGCTTATAATTGCTGCTAGCCCCATATAGCAGGTGAAGTTACCACCAAACAAGGTGTTAATTCCAGTACACTGCTTGTGTCAGGGACACTCAAATAAAGAATGTGTTATAACAGTATGCGATTAGCAATCAGCATGCTTATAGTTACATAATTTTTTGAGGACAAGGAAAGGTAGAGAGGGACAAGAGGTAAAACTCCATGGTGCTGTATGGCAGCTCTAATATCAACCTGCAACTTCTGAATCCTACAATTTTATACAGGAATTGCAAAGTATTTAACAACACAATTGCATAGAGTTTAACAACTAAACATGCCAGAAGATTGCTTATCTATATATATATATATATATATATATTTTATGTTCTGTGTATTATACTATTTTTCGTGTCTTTTTTTCTCTTCCTAGTATTCGGAACTTGATACGGTATTTTGAGATGAGGGGAAATAGCTACACGCTTACCATGTAATTTCAGTAATGAATCAACAAACAAATCAAAATATATGATCTTCAGTTGCATTATGGCCAGCTTTGTATCATGTGTTTAAAATGAAGGTTACACTTTACTTACTGTGACACTGTGCAATCCAGTTTATGATATCCTTGTTTTATTTGTTTACTACTTAGGCTTCCATTTAATATTTTTGGACAGGCTGTCCAAACGATTTAATATCTTTGTATACACTCTTAAAATGAATATTTTAAAACATTCTTTATATATTGATGTAATTTATTATATATGGTATATTTTTGTCATTTTAATATTTTGAAGAAAAAAAATATTTAAAAAAAAATTACCCCAAAATATAAAATAATCTAAAGAACTTATCCAAAAATATTAAATCAAAGCCTTAGTAGGTAAAGGCGTATTAAATGAACATATTTGTGACAGCAGAAATTTACTGTATAGATTTGTATCTGAAATTTTTATCAAGGTAAAAATAAAAGTGCCTGGAAAATCATATGCTTAATAACTTCATTATTTAACTAAACCAGTTGGCAAGGATTTTAACAAAAAATAAGGAGCCAAAGTCATGAGGAATAAAATATGGAAAATGTAACTAATATCACTTCACATTATAATGGACAAGCGTTATTGAATTTCTTATAATATAGTCCTATTAGATGCCTGATCTAGTTTTATAGGTTATTTGCTAGAAACCTCACCAATCTAGTATTAGTTGTAAAGAAATACAGAAAAGGTTTTTACTTTAAAAGGTGTTTAGTGTGTCATATTTTACCATGTAAAAGACCAATATGGCTGTTCTAATGGGGATCATCATTTTCATAATAATGGGGACAAACATGATTTGGATTGCTGTGAATTCCAAACTGGTAGCAAAAGCTTAGATATAGAAAGTTTTAGTTTGCGTACGTATAAACATTTTTGTTGCTAAGCTCATTAAAATTACAAATATAGTCACAAGAAACCAGTGGAAGTGTCTGCCATGCTATACACATCATTTGAGGGTGGCATCCACATGTTTGAAAATTGTGGTAACATACCATACTTTGAAAGTGTCCCTGTTTAGAATGGACAGTCCCTATCCTGGGCCCAAATGTCCCTCTTTTCTAGGATCATTATGTTGTTGGTACAGCATTAATACTTACAGTAATGTGTCTTTAAACTACAATAAATGTGTTTAGAAATCAGCCTCTTTAAAAACAAGATTCATTGTTCTTGTTCTAAAATAAATTTTAGTTGCATATATTGCTATTAGTAAGTCACCTAAGATGTCTCAGAACAGCCCAGTCCCTAGCCACACCCATACTCACACCCCTAAAATTAAAGTGTCCCCTTTGTCCATTGTTAGTGTCGCAGCGCAGGGTGTCTGTATTGACGTGGTCGTGCCTTATCATTGAAGGCGCGCCGATACTTCAGATAAAAGTAAGTGGCTGATTGGCGCGGCTACACATGAGCAGGGTGGCTGCGCTGAAAATGAAAAAATTAATTTACCTGGATCGGGCGGAGTCCCGCCCGATCCTCCAAGAAGACAGGTCCCGGCTGGTGTGGCGTTCTAAAGGCCGCCGGCCACTGCGGTCCCGTTCTTACTGTTAAAGGGCACACTGCCCACATTAAAGATGGCGCTGATGTGCGTGCAAGGTTACGTTATCGACGCACACACACGTTTTGGGGTCAAATGCCATGTACTAATCAATCACAGCACTGAGAGACATATTTAAACCCTGTAATGCCTTTTCTCAGTGCCCTGTTGTGGTTTCCACTTGTTGGTTGTCAGAGAGCCTGTTCTTGGTTAATTTTCTGGTTATTGACTTTGGCTATTGTTTTTGACTTTCCCTTTTTCTGGTATCCTGAGCCTTGGCTAGTTATTTGTATTGTCTCATGCTAATTCCCTGACCTTTGCTTGTTCTTTGACCATTCTCTTTTATGTTAAGTCTGGCCATTCTAAGGTCCTGTATACGTTGTTTGTGTTAATATAGTTCTGCGTGTTGGGTCACACAGTAATCGTGACAGTTAGAAGGTATGACACACTGTTTGCATATGTAACATGTGCTTTTACCAACAAGGTTCCATTTGTAGTTCAGTTAAATATAATTTCCATATAGTGTTGAATGTTATTTAGACACATACAAAGTCTCTCTGTAGGAGATACCTTTTATGTGACTATTATTGTTTTAATATGTCCAATTCATCAGCACATTAATCTAAAATGATTAAGCTGTACAGCACTTACATAAATGAAACTTGTTTTATATATACATATATTGTACCCATGCTATATGCAACTTTGATGTATTACTGCTGATTATCTTGGACATTTGTTTGTTTATTGTCTTTGACTTTCTTTTAACTTTTGACGTTTTACGTTTTAAATCACAAAATAAAGAAGTAAAAACCTATATCTTGTATGGGTGATGAGTATAATATTTTGTTTTTAAATCAGTCACATTCACACATTCTTTTCAAATCAACTATGTAGTCTACTTCAGTCTTTTTTGTAGGTAAACACATACACATGGATATAGACTGTCAAATTAGACGGGAAAAACAATATAAGCAGAAACTAACAGTCTAACTCTGTCAGGTATATTTAATAAAGTGACAATTGCCAGGAATTCAAAATATCTAAACTGGAAACATAGCTGACATTTTCCATTTTATCTCCATTGGCCTTACATTGGAAATTCGCTTTGAATTCCTGACATTTCTCAATTTAGTGCATAACCCTATATATGATATGGTAAAATATAAAACCAGATTATACATCACAACATTTTTTTTTTGTTTTTTTTTGAATTCTTTATTTTTGTTGTGCACAAAATTGACAAATAGCCTTGGTGCGCCACAACGGCGACATCAGGGTAAGGTGAAATACATTTGCAATACAGGTTGTGGCATTTGTTAGTCAGGCACATTTTTAAGTAATTGAGATCATCATTTCAACAGTGTAGGTACTCGTTTATGTAACTATAATGTAGAATTATTAACATACTAAAACTTTACTGAGGCCACGTTTATAACAGTACAGTGAATATTGTAGCAAAATGCAAATTCTTAGATCAAGTTAGTGTAGTTAGATTATTTAACTGCTTAGTATGTATTAATATGCTACCTTGCTGCGCCTTAACTATTTGTGGACACAGAAAGCGTTACATTTGCTGGTTAAACCTAATGTAGTTGTTGCCTAGTAGTCCATATGAGTGTATATGCTTGTTGTAGCAAGGTTAGGCTTAGTAGGGTGTGAGGCTTTACCCGTGCAAACTATCGCTACCAGTTAGTCGATATGAGACTAGTTAGCCATTGAATACGAATTAACCTGTTGTATAGAGTAAGTAAATTATACATGGTAACCTGGTGCAGGTATTTAGTGAAGTAGTTTCACAATCATTAAAGTTGTATGCTAATACTGCACATGCTAATTATACCTGGGTACTATACATCGCTTAAGGAAAGGAGGCCATCAGACATTTTAGTTACTGGGCGCTGAGGGTTAGTGGGATCAGATGGAATTGGAGAAATATGAATATAGGCATAAAACAGATTTTAAAATCACATGCAGTAGCTAGAGAGCAGTGCTGTGTGTGAGAGGGGACAACAGGCTGATGCTCTGGCGTGTCCAGTGACCCCCCCATTGCATGTCCCACTCAGCCTATGCCCATAGCTGTCTGGCACAGTCCAGACCCATTTGCAGGGTAGTGTGTTTCTTCCCGCATTCCTCTTCGGCTCACCGCGTCAGTGTGGACCATCCTCTCTGTGTGTGCACATAGGTGTGTGGGCCCGTTTGATGGGTTTGGACAGCAGCTTGGTTTACGGTCCAGCGGAGCAACGTGAGGCTGGTGCAGCTGTGTGCTTGGTGGAGTACCCGGAGAGGTGAGAATCCTCGGTTGCTTGTCCTGCCGGACCCTTCTAGGAACCCTTGTGTGGTTCCCACCCCATCGTTCAGACTCACAGCCGCGAGCGGGAACTCGGAAGATGACGTGTTTCCCTTGGACTGGAGGTTTCCTTTGGGCCCTCTGCCCAGGAAGGTTGTTACGAGCTCTGGTCCGTTTGGGATATGAGCGGGTGCCTGGTGAGTGGGTCATCTGTCTCCCCTGCTGCACAGTGCCGGGAACCATGGGTTTTTGCCACCGCTTGTCTGCCAGGGAGGCAGGAGGGACAAGAGGTTTGCTTTCTCTCCTCTGCTCCCTGTTAGCCTGTGCCTCTCTGTCCTGCAGCATCCGCCAGAAGTTGCTGAACAGCGTATCTAGCCGTTCCTCGAGTGTCGCTTGCGGGCCTTGTGTTGCTGTCACAGGTGCCTCCGCCGCCATCTTGATTTCAGCGGTGGAGCTGGGCGCAGGCCACAGAAATGGATGGGGTATTCGGTGCCTCAGCTTGCCTGGGGGTATAGCCTGTATGCTTGTGCCGGGATAACCCCCACCGACTGGGGGGGAGACAGGGGTCCCAGCCGCTTTGATGTTGTCCTGCAATACTGCTTGCAGCGAGATCGTCCGCCTCTCCCTGGTTTGCAGCTGCTGGCAGGCCGCCATTTGTCGACGGTTGGAGACTGCTTCTCCGGTCGCGGAAATCCACCCAGTTGAGTCTCGGGGGTATCCCCAATGCTCTGCTGCGTCGAGATTTTTTATTTTGTTGTCATTTGTCAGCTAAATGTCGATTTTTGGCTGGTCTCTCCTTGGAGCTCTTTCCATGTGCGACCGGCTTGATCGGTGGCTAGGCCCCGCCCCCCATCACAACATTTTTGATAACACAGAAGTCTTAATAAAATAAACAGGCAAACCATAAGACTTCAAAAAGATAATTCATAGTCCTTAAAAAGTAACCCCTATACTGTTGCCTTGTTGGGAAGCCTTTAACAGTAGATTATGTCACAGTTCTTTACTAGGATGTTTTGGGGAAGTTATTTATTCAGCTGAAGAGAGTGCAACAGTCACTTGTTGTTGACTATACCAGCTTACAGTTCCTTCTCCATCATGGAAGATGTAATCACTTGTAGGCCAGTGTGTCTCCAGCCCAATCACCATCTACATAACCAATTAATTTGGGGTTTGAAGTTGCTGGCAGTTGAAGCTTCATTCTAGTTGTTCCTTTTAGGTACAGTAGCGCCCTCTTTACTGCGTTCCAGTCACATTGACAAGGCATTGCAACTTTTCATTGCAAAGTATACCGACTGCTGCAGCAAAGTCTGTTCTTTTCCAATTGCCTTGCGGTAATTATCATTGTTTGCTAACAGGTTTTCTGTTCCATTGTTTTTCTGATAATCTATTCCATTGCTGTTTTCACTTCTTTTGCATCTTGCATGTGAAACTGTTCTAACATTTCTGTAATGTTTTGACTTTGGTCAAGAAGAGAGCTTGCATCCTCTTTGCTGTCTACTTGAATTTCTTGGTAGTGACAGATGTTCCCTAGTTCTTTAATCTAAAAGTTTTGTTTCAATTTGTGAAATATTTGGTTGGAATTCCCTTCTTTTTCAAAACAAATTATAATTTTATCAATGTAAAACTAAATATCCATTAGTTTTCTTGATTCTTTTAATAAACATGGACCTGCTTTACTTCTTGAGAATCCTTCTTTTGTGAGAATTTCATTCACTTTTTTATTCCACATTCTCACAGCCTGTTTGAGCCCATAGAGGCTCTTTTGAAGGTTACATTTTTATAAGGTTTTGTCCCTTTTTGAACCCTGGTGACTGTTCCACATAAAGATCCTTCTTGATGTCTTTGCATAAGAAAGTGGTTTTGACATCCAGATGCTTCACCTGCATTCCCTTTATGGCTGCAATGCTAAGGAGTGCTCTGATGGTTGTGTGCTTTACAACTGGAGCAAATGTTTCGTCATAATCTTCTCCAAATTTCTGGAAGTATCCTTTGGCAACTAATCTCTATATCTGAGGAAATTTCCTTCTGCATCATATTTCACTGTAAAAGTTAATTTGCTTCCTATAATTTTGTGATCGTGGGGAGCTCAGTGGGGTACCAGGTATTGTTTTCCTGAAGTGAATTAATTTCTTATTCAGCTGCCTGTCTCCACTGATTGGCTTCCCTTTTTGGCAATTTTTCTATGTCTTCCTAAGATGTTAGTTTCTGTATTCCATATGTCTTAGCAGTGTATGACAGCCTGCGGTATGGTATCCCTTTTGTTGCCCAAGTGGATCATCTGATTTCTGTTTTTTCGGTAGGTTCTACTGGTTTCTCCATTGTAAGTTCCACTTTTTGTTCTGACTCTTGTGTATCTTCATTTTGGTCACAGCTTTCGAGAATTGTTTTTTTTCTAATGCTTTGCTTTCATCAAAATAAACACTGCAACTTATTGTGACCTTGTTGGTCTATGGATGAAGGATTATAGATTCCTTACTTTGTTCACTGTAGCCCACCAGAATGCTTTCTTTGGCTTTGTTCTCTAACTTTGAGTGTTTCTCGCCTGGGTCATGGGTATATGCTTTATAGCTGAACACTCTCATATGTTCTATACTGTGTTTTTATCAATTCTACATTTAGTATGGGGTACTTTCAAAGGTTTTTGATGGTAGCCTGTTCTGTAGGTATGTTGCAGTTATTATTTCTTCTCCCCAGTACTTGTTAGGTAAGTTGGCATCTAAAAGCAAGCATCTGGCCATTTTTGTGAGAGTGCGTTTTTTTCTTTCTGCTACACCATTTTCTTTGGGAGTGTATAGAGCAGTTATTTGGTGTACAATACCTTGTTTCTTTTAGTATGATTCCACTTCTTTACCCATATATTCCCATCAATTGTCAGTTTGTATTATTCCTGATTTCCTTTGAAATTTGTTGCTGGTCATAGCTACAAATTCTTAAAGACTTTCTGATGTCTCACTTTTGTGCTTTAGCATTTATGTCATTGTGTATCTGGCATCATCATCAATGAAGGTCAGTAAATATCTCTTCCCTCTGGGTATGGGGGTTTTCATTGGGCCATTAACTATGTATGAGTTCCATAGGTTGGGTGTTATTTCTTCAACTCGTCTCTGGAAGTGGTGTACGTGTGGACTTTGCTTTGATTCAACTTTTTAGGGGGGTGGTACCTTAGAATTCTGTGCCTATAGGTTCCTGACATCTGGATTCAGACCTATTCCCTTGTGATTCGCCCCCACATATCTAGGCATCATTCTGTGTGTTTCTCTACCTTCATCTCCCACCACCTATAGAGTCTCTCCTCCTCTTACTCATTACTCTCTCTCTAGAAGAGTGGTTGGACATGACCAGGCTGCTTCTTGCTTTTTTGTTTGATTGAGGTCCTAGTGCATTTCGGCACCTCTATTTGTATGGATAACAATGTGGGACAGAACATAAATAGGCGGGGATATGTTATGTTACATCTGTCTATCAACACATGAGGTCTCTCATTGAAGAGATATAGCATAACATGACCAATTAAAGTCTTCAGCTGAGTCTCACAATAGCAACTAACATGGGGTGCAGTTCAATTGAACTCACCAGCATCCATCTATCAACAGTCACAAGGTACAGATAACTATTACCATGTACTTGGTATACCACTGCTTGGCCAAAATATGATTTGTCTCACCAATAATGGAAAAAGGGCAAAATGATCATACATGGGCAGTCCTGTTTCTTAAAAAGTCAAGGTTCTCATTTTTGTGGGATGGTTTATAATTGGAAAGGGAGTTTAAGGCACCATGCTCCCCCTTCATCTCCTGGAGAATCTGCCAAACAAGTTTTATATACGTATGATCTGCAATCACCAGCTTTTAAGTCAACCACAAATCTATTACCTGGCAACATGACTATAATACAATAACACTATAATATAAGAACGTTAGGATGGAGTGAATGGAGGAGCCATTCACTGGGGAAACAAGCAAGGCTAAGTTTTGGCATGATAGGTATTTTTGTGTTGAAGTAGGACATATGATGATATAAGAGTACGCATCTGGTGCAAGGGTTTTATTTATAGGTATGGAGGAGTGGCTCATAGTGTGTGTTGATTTTTCTTTTCATATTTGAGTTTTATTGTGATTTTTTTAAGATAACATACAATGGATTGTATAGCCGAAGAATTGCTACAGGAGTACAGAAAAGAAAATTTGGAAAAAGGGCTTTGTTGACCTTTTTATTACAAAATCCAGCATTAATGTGACAGTTAAGTGATGTTTCAGTATCCCTGGGCAAAGCCTGATAAAGCTTTCTTTTGATAACTAAAGAAAGCCTGCTGATGTAAAACATTGGTATTGTTTGTAGAATATCCCATTAATTACTGCAGAACAATCAGAGCTATCCTTTGTAAAGTAGAGATTATTATATATGCTATTTAATGGTTCCCATAATTCATATCATCACCATGCTATTTCATTAGACTGGAACATATATAAATTAGCCACATGATCTGAGCTCTCTCATCACAAATAGTTTAAAAGCTCATCTTCATGTTTTTCCAAATGAGCTTTCTCATACATGTATGGAATGAGTCTAACCCCAAAGAAAACCGATTGCAGAAGAATAAACACCAGAAAACAAAATTAAACAAGGAATTTTAAGGTTAGTAATTCACTATTATTATTTTAATGTTTGTCTAATCTCTCTCTCTCCCGCTCTCGCTCTCTATCCCTCTTCACCTCTACACCTCTCTGCACAAAACACTAACAGTTAAAATGTTTTATTATATGTAGCAATGTGGAAATTTATTTTAATTCCAGCTGACCATATTTTAAAAAAGAATTCCAGAACTATAGTGAATTCAAAGAAAGGCTATTTGAAAGGTGCAAGGTCTACAGTAATGTATATACAGATTGAAAGCTCTAAACAGGGATTCTAAAAAGGTAGGACTAAACCTCACATGATGATTTTCCAGACTTAAAGTTATCGTGGAAACTTTAGTTCTAAAACATCTGTGGATCTACCTTCCCCCTGTTCTAAAATAAAAGGGCATAATTTTATATAGTACAAACATATATTTTCTTCATTGTAAAAATATCTACAATTGTGCTCAAAAGTTTGCATACCTGACAGAAATTTTGACATTTTGGCATTGATTTTGAAAATATGACTGATCGTGCAAAACACTTATTTTATTGAAGGATAGTGATCACATGAAGCCATTTATCATCACATAGTTGTTGGCACTTATTTTTTTTTTTTTAACATTCTTTATTTATGTAGTGCATAGTATAACAGAGAAATATGCAATTGCATAGGATTTCATGTGACATTAATAGAGTACAATTAAAGCTTGAAATTTCTAGATTACTGCACTATTTTTAGCACAGTCCTATGAGATGAGCTGAGAGAGAAGAAAATATGCGGTGGCATAGAACTGTGGGTAGATTAAAAAAGAGAGGAAAGAGAGTAGTTGTGTGTGTTGCAGAGGAACAGAATAAATAAGATTTGCTTAAAACTTGCAGAGACGTGTGCAATGCCATAGAACAACCCCAGCCCAGAAGAATAGACCCAAACTTAAACAAAAATAACAAGGTGCTTACTGCAATAGAATAATATTAAAAGTAAACTCTAGGCTTATAGAATTATAGCCCAACAATGGATCGGCAGCCACAGGGTATCCTGCAGTCCTGCCCTGGAACCACTCAGCCTATGCCTACAGATGGTGGCCAACTTCCCCAGCTCCAAGCTCGGATACGGCCATGCTTTGCGCTTCCAGTCCAGCAGGGATCTGCCACATACACAGGACCCCAGGACCACATTGAAGCCCACAGTAGGCCCAGCTGAACGGGAACCTTCCTCCTGAGTGGTGACATACAGTTGGCCTCCATTGGTGTACCAGATAGCGACACAGCAGCAAGGTGTAGTAGGCGGTATGGTGCAAGCTCTATTTAGCCTCTGCCGTCTGCTCTTCCCCCATACCTTCTGTTGGTGTGTGTCAGCCGCTGCAAGTTTTTGAGCTGCCGCCCTGTCCCATGGCGGCCACATTGGGAAGGTCCCACCACACGGCGGCCTGCAGGTCGTAGCAGGAGGGAGTCGTGGTGAGTAGTCGTGCACTCAGCTTCACCCAGCATTGGGCACACAGCTTGTCAAAAGTCTGGAGGATCGGGACGCCACAGTTGGGTGGCTGTGGCAGGTGTTACAGTGCAGCAGGCTGTGGCAAGTCGGCCATCTTAAGTTGTGGGTCTCCACCTCATGGATTGCAGCCGGTGACAAAGCCCCACACAATAGACCATGGGTGATTGCCAGTGGGGATCGGGATAACCCCCACCAGTCCACAGGGTGGGGGGGGGGGGGAACAGGGCTCGAGAATAAGAAATCACAGACCCTGGCAGAGGATCGTCTGCCAACCCCCCCTCGAAGCCGCAAAGTGCTTTTTCATGGGCAGTGCCCACCAGAATTAAGGCGAAGCAGAGCTCATCGAAGAATGAGCAGATATGATCCAAAGATATCAGGGTACAGTCCAAGATTAAGCTCAGTAAACAAGCTTCCCTGAAGAGCCTCAGCAACATGCGACCATCTTGGTCAGCTATCAGGCCCCGCCCCTGTTTGACTCCTTTTTAAATCATACTGAACACAGAAATCACCCAAATGTCCCTAATCAAAAGTTTACATATCCTTGAATGTTTGGCCTTGTTACAGACACACACATGTTAAAATGACCTGCGTAATGGAACTTTATAAAGATGGAAAAGGATATAAAAATATATCAAAAGCCTTTAAAACACCAGTTGACACTGTTCAATCACTTATTAAGTATGTGGTGTGATCTATCAGGAGCCTCACTTTCAGTGGACTCCTCCTATATCTTCAGAGTTTCTTATGTTTGTTTATGTTGAGAAAGCACCAGATACGCACCTCATCTCTTTTTGGGTAGCGGTGTGGGTAGTCTCTCTCATCTGGCAGCAGCAGGTATTACCATCATTTTGACACTTTTTCATGTTATCCAATATTCCTATTTTTTGCAAATCTGTTTCATTTTTGCTTGGATACTTGGAGTATGATTAACATTTCAATTCATTGCATGCGTTCCAGCATGACAATAACCATAAGCACAAGGCCAAGTTGACCCTCCAGTGGTTATGTAGTAGATTATTTTCTGCAAACCAATTAGTTTGAATGACTATCTGTTCCTGTCCAAATTAAAGATAATAAAGTTGCGTGCACGCAGAAGTAAATTCACACTGAGACACAGAGTTCAGGTTTATGAAAGAACTTTGGAAAAGTTTAATGGCTTCTAACAGATAATGGGTGTGCAGACCCTTATAAAGGCATTTTTACATCACTGAAGGATTCAAGATAACAGCAAATAAACTTTAATAATTGGTCCAGGTGTTAAGTGGTTAGTTAGATACCCTCCCATCAAGAGGTGATGTCATCCTTGACACGGGGGTGGACACAAGATGTAGGTGCCATCTTATTAGCACGAGGTGTTCACTCGATGGGAGGGGTGCTTTGGCAGCCATTTTGAGTAGTTAGTATTGTTAGCTTCAAGGTTCTTTTAGTAAATACACATTTTATTATTCAGCACATTTCTTCCTGCCAAAGCATTAGCTTAGATAATTTCAAGAATTCTATAATTCTACAACAGTTACAGCTGAAAAAGGTGAAAGTTCTGGAATTGCCATCACAGTCTCCTGACCTTAATATCATCGAGCCACTCTGGGAAGATCTAAAACTTGCGGTTCATACACGACGACCAAATATTTTGCATGACCTGGAGGCATTTTGCCAGGACCAATGGGCAGCTAGTATATTTGCAAGAATTAGGGGCCTCATAGAAAACTACTACAAAAGACTGCACGCTGTCATTGATGCTAAAGGGGGCAATACACGGTATTAAGAACTAAGGGTATGCAGACTTTTGAACAGAGGTGATTTCATTATTTTCTTTGTTGTCATGTTTTGTTTTGTGATTGTGCCATTCTGTTATAACCTACAGTTAAATATGAATCCCATAAGAAATAAAAGAAAGGTGTTTTCTTTAGAAATTGTACATATATTACAAATTCTCCAAGTGTATGCAAACTTTAAGCATAACTGTAAATAAATAAATGAATGGAAAGTATTGCGAGGTTTAACAACTTAAAGGGATTGTAAATGTATTTTGTCACCCAACACTTCACATTGCTCACCCTGTTATCCCCCTTGATTGTGTAACTCTCACACAGATTTGAGCTTGAATGCCAGCACAGAGGATGGCTGTGTAGCATCTGCACAGTCATGACTCCCACATCTGCAGGTCCCCTATTCAGGGTCAAATTTACTTTTAGAGGTCACTGCAACCAAAAACACTGCTTTAATAAAACACTGTTTTTTGATGGATTAACCGTTGCTGACACGACCCCCACCATTTACAATATTTTTTTAAATAACACAATTTAATGGCACACTTGCACTGGGGTAGGTCTTGTAAAGAGTGCTGTGCACATGTGATAGGGCTGCCTGTGGTGATATATGTGTTTGGAGGTTGATTGAAGGATTGTGTGTGGAGGAGGTTGTTTCTGGTGTAGTATGTGTCTAAAGGGGTCTGTTTGTAGTGTACTATATGGACTGTAGTGTGTGTGTGTCTAAAGACTGTAGAGATTGTTTGTGTGTTTATGGCCTGGAGAGTGTGTATGTGTGTGTGTCAGGACTTTAGAGTGTGTATGTTTACTAGGACCCAGGTAAGTTGTCAAACTGTTTTTAACCTACCTACCCTGAAAGGACATCAGGGTTCTCCTACCTCCATAACCACTGGAGCATGTAGAGTGTGCTTTTTAGGTTTAAAGTTGCTTTAAATGTTGCAGCTTTGTTTGATGTGTGTTGTGAAGTGTTTGGGTGGATGTGTGTTTAATGTGGCTATGTGGTTTAGTGATAGTGTGGGTGTTGTTGAGATGTAGAGTGGTTGTAAGTGTTGTAGCTATTGTAGTGTAGCAAAGGAGCTGTGTGTGGTGTGTGATGCAGTTTTCTAATTCTGACTGTGTGTGAGGTTACAGGGTGTGTGCACATGTGTGGTGACCCTGTGTTTAGGTGGAGGAGGCTGTAAGTGCGGTAGCACTAACTGATGTATGCTGCTAAGCGTGGGTCCAGTGAGGGATATGTGTAAGTAGCTGTGAGTGGTACGTGAGGCTGTTTATGGCTACCTGTGACTGGTGTGTTGCTGTGTGTAGGTAGCTGTGAGTGATGTGTCTATATCCATAATTGATGTGTGTGGCTGTGTATGGAAAGAACCAAGGAAAGTGTGTGGGTATTGGATTGTGCAGAGTGTAGGAGGCTGTGTCTGTTTTGCACCCTCTATGCTTACCTGAGGGTGGGGGTACATTTCATATTTCCTTGATGGCCCAGTGAGTCAGTGGCCGGTCCCTTGTGGTCTTGTGGAGCCTCCTCTCCTTACAGATCCTCCCCTGCCTTGTCTCTCCCTCTCCCCCCGCATGGCTTTCTGACAGTGCACTGACCTCAGCAGAGAGGGTGCACTGACCAAAGCAGAGAGGGTGCACTGACCACAGCTGTATTGACATACTTGGGAAGATCCATCATTTAAAAAAAAAAATAATAATAAATTACCACAGCAAATGCACAAGTGCCTGAATGGTCAGTCAGCCCCTGTATGTGAGTAACTCTGGGTAGAAATGAGCTAAACTAGCAAACTAAACATTTAAACTCCAATATACACAGTCATACTTCCAGAAATAAGTGCGAACATACGTTCACCAAATATAGAGAAGAAATACATTAAATAATAATTTTCATATGTATACATAGGATGGCAGGAAAAGAGGATGTGCATGTATGTGTTATAAATACAAAATTAATTTTATATTGGGAAACAGTCTATACTGCAATACATATACATACAGATGCATTATTTTTATATGTATGAACATTGGAATGGTGGTAGATAACTACAGTGAGGTACACCATATGACAGAGATGGACAAAAGTAGGAATGCTGAAGTATATGCATGGTGACAAAATAGTTTTTATTGTAAAGAAGGTTCTACAACAGTTACTTCATGACTCTTAGCATATCAGACTGTTTCTGCTTCTGAAACAGAACATTATTTGTCAGAATGTGAATTCAGTGCTCCTCATACCAAACACAACAAACCTATTAATGTACATGTTATGTTGTGTACATAAAGAATGAGTTCTAAATTATGTTTTTATAGTATTAAGTCCACCAGGTGGCAGCATTGTAAAAAAACAACAACTTTCATTTGTGGCCATTTTCTGAATGCACTTTCAGTAGGGAAGTTTCTGTAGAACAACTTAAAATTATTTATATGGTGCCATCATATTTCACTGTGCTACACAATAGTTAAACCAAGACAAACAATTGTAAGAAACTATGTGTGACATATGGTAAAGAGGTCCCTGCCCAACAACCTACACTGAACAAAATTATAACCGCAACACTTTTGTTTTTGCCCCCATTTTTCATGAGCTGACCTCAGAGATCTAAGACTTTTTCCATATACACAAAAGGCCTATTTTTCTCAAATATTGTTCACAAATCTGTCTAGATCTCTGTTAGTGAGTACTTCTACTTTGCCAAGACAATCCATCCACCTCACAGGTGTGGCATATCGAGATGCTGAGTAGACAGCATGATTATTGCAAAGGTGTGCCTTAGGCTGGCCACAATAATAAAGATCCATTTTGCCGCTCCCTCAAGCAAATACAGTCTCACAGAGGTTTATTCACTAAACTCTGAACTGCAGTGAGTTCAAAACCAAACTGCAAAGTTTAAGCATGCTGGGGCCAGAATTACATCATATTCCGGCTCCTGGCATCACAGAGGGCGTGCGAGGGAGGAGTAAGAAGATACAAGAACACCCTACCTCGCCGCTCACAAAACAGCAGCTTGCCTCCTGTCCACCGGCATTTCTCGGCAGAACAGGCACCTGCCATCAGGGTAAGCCGGTGCCTACTTTGCCATATTAACCCCTTAAGGACACATGACGGAAATATTCCGTCATGATTCCCTGTTGTTCCAGAAGTTGTGT